ATATCCAAAAAATGAATTCATTGAGACTACTTTGGCAAAAGTTTTTACACATACATGTTTGTCTCTGAATTTTGAGATCTTCTTTCTTGTGCTTTAAAGGGCATGTACATTAAATTATTAGTCGCACACTTGATTTATTGGGCAGAAAGCAGTTTGGTATTTTAGGTATATTATACAACGGCAGATGGGACTGTCGTAGTTGTATGTACTCAGTGTTGGTTTCTTTACAGAGAAAGTAAACGGCACCTTGTCTAAACCTCTGCACTTTGCCATAAAAAGGTGTTTTTGAGTAAAATTACTCCATCATTCTTCCCTGCTTCTTAGCAATCAGTCCCTTTTTTTTCTTTTCTTTTTTCTTTTAGCAAAGGGTAAGACCAAGAGATAAATCTACATCAGGTGTTTGGGGATTTTCTGGGGCTTGTAAAATAATAACAGCTGTGTGGATTTCTGAAGTTTTCTAATTCCCTTTCAAATGCGTGATTGAAACATGGCAATGAGGAAGAATTTCTTGTCTCTACTGTATAAGAGGTGGTGTATATACTGTACCTGTGTAACATATTGTATATTCATTATGCCTGGTGTATGGGGGGGAAGCTGCTCTGCAGTATTTACTGGCAGCTTGTATTGTATGCGTGCTAGTCCAGAGTCGGGGGTTTGGGGGTCACTGACTGGCTGTGATTCAGTACAAAGATTGACAAAGAGAAAATATTTTATTTATTTGAAAAATAAGTTAGCATCTCAACTAATCAGTTTTAATGTAAATTCGAAGTGACTGTAAGATGAAAATGAAGGATCGTTGAGAGAACTGATTTGTATGAGTGCTGCTTCTGACAGAATCTTTCTGATTTTTTTTTTTCCCCTTGAGTAATATTTCTCCCCTTCTCCTGAATAAAGCTGATTGAAAAACGGTTTGTCTTGATTTCTTTTTTTTTTTTTTTTTTTAAAGAAAACTCCACTTACAGAAACTACAACCTGCTGCCATCATAATAGGATAAGTATCATCATCACTAATAACAGCTACTGTTTCTCTGTGCTTTTATGATTCTGTTGAGCTTTCAACCACAATACCAGGTCCCTATTGGTGAAACCGCTAAATTGGCTTCTTATGGAAGTTTGTTTCTGCTACTGGAAAAAATGTTATATTTTGAAATTTCGAGAGCATGAAAATCGATGTCAGACAAAGTTAATTGAATGTACTTGAGGCCGACACGTACATCTAGAAGCATATATGATATCTCTAACCTATAATAAATGCTTTTACTAATGAAGTAATGATTAATACGTGAATGTCTGCAGCCTGACTCAGTCTTAATGGATGTCTGAGCCTGGCTGGTGGAGGGTTCAGCTTCTATGGAAAGACTGCTGTTTAGATGAACAGAGCTGCAGTAGGGTGGGAACTAAACACACGACTATACACTTCATAAAAATATTCTCATTTGGATTCTTTCCTTCTTTCGATCTCTAAAAGGTTAGAAATGAAGAAGGAACTGATCTTATGTGAGGTCCTGGATTGTGTCTGGATGGAGGTTGCAGGCTACACTATAGTGACGCCTGGTGGTGGTGCTTGAGTTGGACATATAGACATACAATTACAGTTTTTTTACAGACGCTAGGACACATTTCTCAATACTTAGGTCACTTTTGCAAAACTCTTCACACAATTCTCCTAACTGACCTTCAGCTTGGCAAAGCAGTTCATTTCACATTCAAAATGCACTACAACTACCAAAACACTTTATTCAGGTCTCAAATAAACTCATT